TTTGTCAACAGAAGATTTAAATTTCACTTCACCAACTATGCACCCAGGAGGGAGACTTCAAAGAAGTTTAAGAGGACAGAAGGTGTTGGATCTGTGTCCATGTTTGCAGTAGACTAGAATTAAGCTTCACTCTGGTTTCGTTGAGTTTTGGGCTCCTCTCTCTATGTCATGATTATTCGAGCACAGACTGCTAGTTTTGTATTTCCCAGTGTTTTTGTTTTTCTCTTGAGGTTATTCTTTCTTTTCCCAGACTTCCCTTTTTGACATTTTTTGTGACTTTGTGGTCTCTGCAGTTCGTAGGTATCTTCTGAGTCATTTCCTGTTTTACTTTGACAGTCGTCTCTTGTGTCTTGCTTTGAATTTTGCTTCCCCCAGTGATAGTTTCGATTCTCTACACATGTGCTGCGTTCTCCCATTCTGAATTCAGCTTGGATCCACTTCAGAACTAAAACCTACCTAACATACCTGTTAGACAGCTGTTAACTCAAAATGTTTATTATTTTTATTATTATTGTTGTTGTTTTACCAGGTTGTTATTTTTATCACTTGTGCATTTAGTCTATAGGTCTTTACCAGGTAGATGAACTGCAAATTTGGACATTTCCTTGATGGTTAGATTTTTCAGTCCTGGAAATTCTCACTGAAAAAAACAAATATATAAAAAATATCCTGTAATTGTTATTAGAGGAGATCTGATCTTTTTGTCCTTCTTCTGCTTATAGCTGCTTCAACTAGGGGCTGTGGTAGCAGCATCATCTGCCTTCATCTCTACCTCACTCTAGTGCAAGCATGCACGCCCTCCTTCACTACATCCATGAACCTTTTCAGTGACCATTCTCTTTGCTTCCTGACCGGCAGCATTTAAACTCCCCACTCCTGCCCATCGTTGTCCCATTGCCTCTAAACAGACAGAGGTGGGAGGTGGCCTTTCTCTAAATTTATTTAGCAGAACAAAATGCAAATGTGTTCTGTTGATGAATGCATTTTACACAAAGATCAATTTAGACTTAAAAAACGAGTGCAGATCTGCAGAGCAATCTCTGCATAAACACTAGGGCTGCAACGATTCATCATGTATCCTGAAAAACTCGATTATAAAAAATCCCACATTTTTTTGCTGTGATGCTTCCTTTTTACACACGGCTCTGTAGTGCCAAGTGTTCACCACGTAAATTCGAGAATTTCTCTCACATTTGCAACTGACAACAAACTTGCAATAGAAACACAACTATGAATAAAAAGCATGCCAACATTAAGCTCATGTGGCCACAAGTTTTTTCAAAGAAAAGAGGTGGATCCGTTACCGCGATGATCACATCATGTAAAGTGAAAGAAAACGTATTTCTATTCAATTTTTATTTATACAGCACCAAATCACAACAACAGTCGCCTCAAGGCACTTTATATTGTACAGTAGACCCTACAATAATACAGAGAAAAACCCAACAATCATGTGACCCCCTATGAACAAGCACTTTGGCGACAGTGGGAAGGAAAAATTCCCTTTTAACAGGAAGAAACCTCCAGCAGAACCAGGCTCAGGGAGGGGCGGGGCCATCTGCTGCGATCTACTGTAAAGACCTGCATTTTTTTCCTGTTTTGAATATTTATTATTCTCATTAATAATAATTTGTCATCTGATTTCTCAATCGAAAAATTAATAGAACACTCAATAGTTACTAAATGTATCGATAGTTGCAGCCCTAGGAAACACACAGTGAGGAGCACCTCCAATTTTGCTGTACATGGATAATAATAAAACTATTCTATTCTACTCTTTTATCACTTTAGAATTTCTTTTTTTAAATTTATCAAATGCCAGACAGTCATAAAACACATAGGTACAGGTAGAAATGATAGTCTCTTCTTTTTCGTTTTCATAACATTCAATAAACATAAATAACATAGATGGCATGAATACCCCCCCACTCCCTCCCAATAATTTGAAGGTAAATATGTTACAGAAAGATGGATTAACCCATGCCTATTCAACTACGAAGTTAGTTGGGCCAGATTTTCAAACCGAGGAATTTATCTGGGCCAGATATTTTTTTTGAAGCCAGTAAGCAGCAGATCATGATCAATTTCAAACCCAAACAACTGTACTGAAAAACAAGTTTTTTTTAAATTCCTTTCCCCCTATAAATCTGGTGGTGACCTCTCACAAATGCACACCAAAAGGTCCATTTAAAAAAAAGGGAGCTATAACTAAACTATTTTTTGCACATTTGAAATAATAATAATAA